GTGCCACATCTTTATGGTGGGTGTCAGTTTGCTTCATGTATGGATTGGAGAGGTTTAAAGTGGCTAATGATGCAGCTGTGGACTGGCTTCTAGTTTGTGGTCGTGCCTCATCATCTGTGTGGGTTTGGGTTTGCTTTTTGCGTGGATGTGTGGTGGTGACCTCCTGTGTGGTTTTCGTGGGTGTGGGTCTGGTGTCGTTTGTTGTGCTCAGGTTAGTCTGAGTTGCAGGGGGATTTCAGATGGTGAGCTTCATTGCTGTTGTTTGACTTCGTGTTTGTGGTCGTGCCACATCTTTATGATGGGTGTCAGTTTGCTTCATGTATGGATTGGAGGGGTTTAAAGTGGCTAATGATGCAGCTGTGGACTGGCTTCTAGTTTGTGGTCGTGCCTCATAATCTGTGTGGGTTTGGGTTTGCTTTTTGCGTGGATGTGTGGTGGTGACCTCCTGTGTAGTTTTCGTGAGTGTGGGTCTGGTGTCATTCTTTGTGTTAGGGACTCGTTTGCCAATAAGGGCAGGTTTCCAAATGGCTGGTAGGCGGGAGGTATCATCTCGTTTATTCATGCTGTGTGGGCGTTTTTCTATCTCGATGGCTTCTCTGATTATTCTGTTTTTAAAGTGTTCAGTTTTGACAATAGTTCTGGTCTTTTTAAAATCAATTTTATGTACTGTGGCTTTAAGGTGTTGGACCAGGGAAGAAGTTGGTTCCTCTTTTCTGACTGAGTTCTTGTGTTCTTCAATGCGTGCATTTATTCTTCTGTTGGTTTGTCCGATGTATGTGGTGGGGTAGGCAGTGCATGGGATTTCATATACTCCTTGATTTTCTAACTCAATTTTGTCTTTGGGGTTTCTTAGGATGGTGGATATTTTTCGGTTTGTGCAGAATGCTGTCTTGATGCCCAGGGCTTTTACCCAGGGCTTTTTTTTTCATAGAACGCCCAGAATGGAATTCCAGCACCTTTTTTGGATGGTAGGCAAGGCGGGTTGTATGATGCGTGTGAGTTCCGGTACCTTTTTTTTTTTTTTTAGAAAAAAAGCACTGCAGATACCCATATATACAGATGTATATATATGTATATGTATATGTGTATGTGTGTATGTGTGTGTATGTATGTATGTATGTATATATATATATATATATATATATATATATATATATATATAGAGAGAGAGAGAGAGAGAGAGAGAGAGAGAGAGAGAGAGAGAGCGAGAGAGAGAGAGAATTGTGCTATATGATATTCCAAGGAGATTATATTGCAATAAATCCTTTTAATGTCTTTAGGTTATAAAACAATTATAATCTTCAGTGTTTTTGTTGTCAATACAATGGGATAGACTTTCTCTAATTAATCTTATTTAAGAAGCTTGATCATGGCCTTACATGGCATCACCAGCTTCACACCATTGCATTAGTTCTTATTGTGAAAAAAATAATTATCATCTATCTATTATCTAGCTGCTATTATGTCTAGATACATAAATAGATATATGTGAATTTGGACTTCATTTAATTTAATTGCAATCACTAAACTCATTATCACTGGAACAATGGTTGAATGTATCATTGTTGAGTAGGATTTTTCCATTTTTACCACAGTAACATGTTTAACATATTAATCTATTATTTCTGACCTCCATTTTAGGAACGCCAAGCAACAATGAAAAAAGAAAGAAGTAGCTGTCAGCAAACAAACAAACTAGCTGATCGAAACAAGATGCAGAGAGCAAATTCTCTCACTATTGATGGTCAAGGCCTTCAGGTGTGATTTGCCATTCTCATTTTTAAGTATTTGTATAGTTACTATTAAAATGTTTTCTGTAGTTACAGAATGGAAGTTAAGCTTGGTCACAGGTTGGATTACAGATAAAAGCATGGCATCTGTACAATGAACAGTATCACATTGTATAGTGAACATTCATCTTAACTTTCTAAAACACAAAAGGATTACTGTACGATTCTGCATATATGAGAACTCCATTGAAAATTAGTCGATATTAATGTAAAAAATGGCTGGCTTTTGTACCTATAATATTTACCATATGTCTAATTATAACATTATTTATAAAAACACATTATTCTTTGTAGTTAAAGGAACAAAATAACCTCCAGGTGTCTCCATGGATCTTTTGTTAGAATGAAAGAAATATAAACTTCTAACATTAGAGAGAACATTTTTATAATAGTTTATAAATGTTACACAGTGAAACAGATCTGGCAGATTCTACAGTTCTTTTTCTAGGAATGCCATCTGCACAGGACTTTCATGCCTGCTTTTCAAAATTAGTAGAACATCTTGCTTTCAAACTTATTAATTAATTACCACTAATAAGGTAAATTATTTAATGGATGTCATTCACAGCTGTATTGGCATATACATTCTGATCAATTACTTTATTCCGGCTGTTGTCTTGAACATTGAATATTTGATAAAATAGGGGCTCAATTCATATATGAGTTACATTAGAATATAAATTATGTCCTGCTGAATTACACCAAACAAAATTTCATTTAAGTCAAACTCTATTATTCTGTGTAATGTGGAATCAAAGGGGTATTCAGAAAACTTGCAGGCATGGACAGCAAGGCAACTGTCCTCAGTTCTTGCTTAATCTTTGTTATGGCCTTAGACCCAGGAAACACAATATACAATGAATATGCATACCAGATATATACAGAAACACATGCACCTAATAATCTATAGATATAAATAAGTACATATAAAATGCAAAACTAACAAAGCAACAATAATAAAATACAGGTAGCTCTTAATTTATGACCACAATTGAGCCCAAAATTTGCTAAGTGAGACATTTGTTAGTTGAGTTTTGCCCCATTTTACGACCTTTCTTGCCACAGCTGTTAAATAAATCATTGCAGTTGTTAGTAACTCAGTTGTTAAGTGAATCTGGCTTCCCCATTGACTTTGCTTGTCAGAAGGTTGCAAAAGGAGATCACATGACCTTCAAGACATTGCAACCATAATAAATATGAGTCAGTTGCCAAGCATCCAAATTTTGATGATGTGACCATGGGGATGCTGCAATGGTTGTAAGTATGAAAAACAGTCATAAGTCACTTTTTCCAGTGCCATTGTAACAATCACTAAATGAACTGTTGTAAGTCAAGGACTACCTGTAATACAAATAATGTTGATTGCCAAGATTAGTATTATTTTTCTGTCTAAATGGATGAATAAAACAGAGGCTCTTAGAGCAATCTGGGATTCTATGTCAGAATTCTAGTCAGATAAAGAACAATTAAGCTTAGTAATCTCCATCAGAGAATGGGGTAGAGTAGTAGGGAATATGAAATTCCCTGTAAAGAGAACAAGAGAATTGCTTATGGTGCAGAGGGATTTCTTAGAGTTATTCCCATATGGATAAAACAACAGATGTAGAGAGATATTTTTATAAGGCCCCGCAGGACTGAAGAGTGTGGCTATGTCCAACTCGATCAAAGCAAAGTCTTGCAAAATTGAATGGAGGAAAAATAGAATGATGACATGTGCCCATCTGAAAAAAAATTGTGCGAATGACCAAATGTAGACTGTTTTGGACATCACTATTTATATCAAAATACCTGATTGCTTCCAAGTCCAGTTCAAGATGCTGGTTTTGACTTTCAAGCCTTTCATGGTATAGTACTGAGCTATCTGAGGGACTATAATCTCATGATTATATCTGCCTTTTTAAATAATTGTATATCAACTTGAGTCACTTTTGTGAAATAAATAAATAACCACCTAAATACAAGCTTCTTGTATTTGAGACACACTGATCATGATTCAAGAGTTGACAGATCAATTAATAGCTGTTAATAATCCAATCCTCCATAAATTTCTTCAAAAGTATATAATTTGATGGCTAGCACTTAGCTAATGTCAGGGAGTTCCATAATTCCAAATTGTGCTATGTGAAGTACTTTTATCAGTTCTAAATCTCTCAATGTTCAGTCTTAATTGATGATTCTTTTTTAAAAAACAAGTTTTATTAATTTTCAATTTTACGTTCAGATATTTAGGAAACAGCATGGTGATTGGGTGGTCAATAATCCAATAACAGAGTCTTTCATACATATCTCAGGTTACATCATTAAAGGTTCCCTCTCTGTTTCTCTTAATTATTATATCACATTTGAGTTAATACATTTCTAATTATAGCTCAATCAATCAATACAGTTATCAATATAATTTTACTTATACACATCCAAGTCCTGTTTTTAAGTTTTACCTAATTTCAATTACCATATTCCAATTTAGCATTTAATATCCATAATATTTAGACTTTGGGTAACCCAATTTTTCCTAATTTCATTACAGAATAGTTATTGTATCTAAAATACAGATATTATTCAATTAATTACATTGTTACTTTATTTCACAGATATATCTATTTCTCATCCTAGTATCTCATTATTTACTAATAGGCTATCTTTTATTGTCTCAAGCCAGCTTCCATATTACAGTTCAAAACTATAATCTAATAGCTAATTTTCATTTCCCTTATACATCTGAGTTCTAGATATTAAGTCAACCAATGTTTAAAAATCTCCTTAGCCCATCAAGTGAGGTTTTAAGCTCTTCCATTATCAGTCAGCAAAAGGAAAAAGGAAGAGAAGGAGAATCACATTTTTAAATCTTTTTGTGCCAACCAGCTTTCTTTTTGTGCCAACCAGGCTTCCATATCAATGCCTTTAAATCCTCAAATTTGTCTCCCTTCATTCCTACACGTGTTGTTTGAATCAAGGGAGAACATCCTGTTATCAACTTTTCAAAGGAACTGGCCCCTTTGTAATCATTAGATTGTTGCCCTAATAACTCAAATCTCCAAGTTTGATTTAAAATGTTTGTCATCAGTTCAATCTGGTCTTCTTCTTCTTCTTCCAGTTTCATCTGGCTAAAATAAGAGGTCATGTCCAGTATTGTAATTGTTGTTTGGTTTTCTGGATTATCTAAGTTCTCAATGTTTTGTGTTTGGTAATCTTTAGCATCCTCCATCTTAGTATTGCTTTCTTCAGTTTCAGTTGCTTGTTGAATTGCAGGTTCTTTAATTGAAATCAAGATTTGACTGTCAAAGTTCTCAGTAAATTGTATTTGTTGTTGTATAGAATCCTCTTTGATATTGATTTGTTCCTTTTCTATTGTTTTTGGGTTGGAATGTGAGTTAATTGATGATTCTAAGGAAGTTGGATAAACACTTGTCTATATTTTCCATGTATTGTTATTTCTCCTTTTGTTCACTGGCTTTCTAAGCTAAAAGATACCATTGGAGTAGCTATTCATTATAGGGGTACACTTCCAAATATCTTATCATTTGTTGTTGTTCAGAATTGTACACAGTACACTATTCCATGTACAGTATTTATTAATTAATCTATAGTGTACTATATGCAATAAAGATTTTTGGCATTAAATTTGTCTTTCCCCCCCCTAAATCCATATCTTGGGCTGATATATTTTGAGTTATGTATTATGAAGATGTCCTCCCTTTCCTGATCAGTTACTGCCAATTGAAACCCCAGTTTTGTATATGTGGAGTTTGTATTTTTAGAGCCCACTCACATGCTGAATTTGTTATGTCACCCTATACTTAAGATTGCATTATTGCAATGTACAATACTCATAAAATATTTTCCTCTTAAATAAAGCAGAAATAGGGATTAAATTGTGTGCCTGAAGTCCTCAATTTACGATAATTTGTTTAGTGACTGTTTGAAGTTTCAATTTTCACTTAAAAATTAGTGCCTTATGAGCAGTACTCACTTTTATGACCATTGCAGGTTTCCTGCTGTCACATAATAACTATATGGGCATTTAAAAAGCAGCATATATTTATGACAGTTGCAGTATCCCAGGATACTAAGATTCTAGGATAGCTTGTGTTTCAACAGAAAAAAATATCACAGTATAGATGCTGTAATATCCTCATTGCAACAAGTAAAAAGAACATTTTTTTTTTAAAAAATGCTTTGATTAAGCAGAAAAGAAAAAGGGAAAAGGAGAAAAAGAATAAAGAAAACAAAATAACAACACACATACAAAGATTTTATACAGGAACATAATGTGTTTTTTGTTTTTATATAACCATTTTAATAAGGGATAATTTTATATCATATGAATCTTGATTTATATTTGGAATATCTGATACTTTAAGTTATTTAATATATTTAAATTATTTTAATTTTGCTTAGAAAACTTGCAATAAATTGCGATTTTCTCTTCTGCCTACTCTTCATCACATATAAAAAACAAATAATTTTCTATTCATCTATTTTAGTAATAATTATGGAAGAAATATTTTATCCATGAAGCTTTTTAGTACTAAAAATATTGAAAAGCATAGTCATAAAGGACTATGCAGGCAACTCAGTGGCAGAGAGGATCACTTCTTAGGTGCAACTGTTATTAATCATAGTTAAGCACATTCATCTTATTTCTTTCCAGCATAACCAGCATAATGATCAGGTTTATTATTTCTAATTAGAGGAAGTAATATATCATGTATAAGCTTAAGATGAGTCTCATTAATTAACCCGAACCCATAGAGAATTCTAAGAGATAGTCAATCTTTGTCACAATGAGAACCGCTGGTTTATGCTTCATTCACAGGAATAAACAATCCTGGAATTAAACTAAATAAATAACATTGATTACATTTCTAAATAAGCATTAAAGATGTGACAGTTGTTGAAAAAGGCTGTGATTTTATCTACCCAGAAACTTATATGTCTCATAGATCTTCCTCTGACCAATGCAGTGAT